TTCCTTCCTTCCTTCCTTCCTTCCTTCCTTCCTTCCTTCCTTCCTTCCTTCCTTCCGTCCCCATTCCTATATAAGGTTGCCAACTCACAACATGTGTTTGTCCAATCCTCTGTCCCAGGCATAAGGAGTCCTAAGCAACCGTCGCTCAACTCCAATTTTAATGTCTCTTGGGAGGAATTGTCTATTAACTGGAGGAAGTTCTGGACAGGCTAGGGTCAAAAGTGAGTGAGATAATGCCCTTTGCTCTTTCTTGCCTACTTTCTGCTCTACTAGAACTGAAATGGGGCCACGGTCAAGTAGGGCCCCAAAGCTACAACCTGCCTTAGGGCTTGAACTAAAGTGGTCTCCTGGGTGTATTTCTGAGGGACAAAAGGGATGTTCTTGGGAATGGGAAAGAGGAGACACATCTTCAATTTTTCGTCCATCCTGAAACACTACTGCACAGTGTGGGGAGGAGACATTTTGAATCCATAGTGTACATCCACCCAGCTCTATTAAATATATCTGGGGCACTGTAAGCAAATTCTCTCCACCTTTGATAGTCCTTTCTCTCTCTGTCAGCTGACAGCCATAATATTTCCCAGCTTAACTATCTTCAGCCTCCCAAAGGTGACAGAAAGCATTGAGCATAAAGTCTCACTGGCAGAATCAATAGAATACTGCATTTTGTAGAGCGTTTTGATCATACCAACACACACTGTTTTGGGGTGATCCCATTTCCTTTGCAAACCGATAAATATAACACCTCTATTTCCCTCCCTTTGCTTCAGCAGCACATACATTCCAACTGGAATGACACTCCCCTGCTTTCCTCCTCCACCTTCAGTATTAGAGAGAAATGAAGATAATAATTCAGAATAGGATTCTTTGTATAAAGCAGCAGCCCTGTGTGTTACAAAGGAGGTACTAATTGAAGTTCCAACTGAGATAGGATGCTTCAAATATTACACCAAATTTCTAAACAGAATAAATACTTATTTTTGGTTCTTAGCATCGAGCTTTTACTGATATAATACAGCACTTGCTATATGATATACAGTATAGCAGTCAGGGCAACCAAAAACAAAATCAGGTAGTAATTGGTTATCCTCCATTGCCACCCACTGAAAGCCTAAAAGTAAAAATCCTAAAGGTAAACTAATGCTGCCTATAAAATACCAATGGTCTCTTCCAAAGATTGCCTATATTTCTGATACGATAAAATGATATTTCCTAAGAGCTCCACTTTCAAGTGGAAGTCCTTATATGCTTGATTATGCATCCACTTCAGTTCAAGACAGCTCTGCTTGATTCTACTTTGTATAGGAAGAACCTATACTATCTGCATTATTTTCAGTTGTGGACTACACAACACTCGTAACCTTGGATGCCTGATTATTCCCTGGCTGCTGTTTCCTAAATTAGGAAAAATGTAAAGTCAACTTTTCATTTCAGAAATTAAAAAAAAAGTTCCGTCAATTCTCTAGACTTAATCATTTTGCAACATTACCTTCATAGATATACAAAGAGTGCGCAGTCCTTTTGTAGCATAATCATTTAAATGCTTCTGAGTTTTTGCCTTTACTGCATTCTTTTGCATCCCTATTTTTTTATTGCCTGAATTAAAAAAAAAAATAAAAAGATAGGTACAGAGGATACTCAATATGTAAGTCAAGTTTATAAATCAAGATGAGCATTTTCTTAAGAAGATCTTTGTAACAGATGGGTTGGATAAACTAGCAGAAACAATTCCAGCAGTGTGGCTGTTTTATAAATTGTGGGTCATGAGTGAATAGGATGCTGCCTTAGCTCAAACATGAGTCTTGGAGATACTTCGCAGGCCCTTGTGTCTCAGATTCTGCAACCCCTTGGACTAGCAAATCTTCTGATGCACAAGAAGCTGCGTAATGAATTTTGCTAAGAAGTATCTCAGAACCATGTACAAGAAATTAAGGATCACCTTTGTTAACAGAAGACAGACATCAAATGTCAATTCTCTTTTATCAAATAAAGTAAGTTGAAGTGTGTGAGTGTGTGAGTGTGTGTGTGTGTGAAACCTTCGTATAATTTTTCCATTCATGAATCTCTGGATTCAATCTGAAGAGAAAAATGACATTTTCAACTTCAAAGAAAAGAGAGTTTTCTTGAAAGCATTTATACTGCATACTACCGCCTAAGAAAAAAAGTCCAGTATGTAGAAAAGCTGTTGAGACAGGTGTAGAAAAGAAGTAAAAATGGTATTCAACTTTAATAAAAACTATTATTTCAGCCCAGAGATAGGCCTTCAGAGTCAACTAAATAAATATTTCAAATCCTTATAGTTATAAGCAGAATATAAACACATGCATCACACCGTATAATAATGCCACTTGTAATGTTTCCTAATTAAGGAATATCAATCTAGCAGGGCATCAGGTCTTTGCAAGAGTTGCGCAACTCACACTATGACCCTCCCCCAACCTCTAGAAGTGTCAATAGAGACATAATGTGGGAAGATGACAGCTCTAAGAGAGAAAGCTCTCCCTCTCTCTCTATTTGCTTTTAGTAACTATGGAAAATCATTAAAATGTTTAAAACACTTTAAATGAACACTAGGACTTAGAAAAATTATTAATTAATTATATTTATTTACCGAGGCTTACCGTGTATGTCAGTCCAATCACAAGTGATTCTAGTTAACCAGAATTACAGTGATCAGATGAAAACTTAATATGCAGTAAATGCAAAAGTACCATGAGTAGAGTATTCCACAGCACTACATCTCCAAAGAAACTAAAAATCACCTTATTTGCCCCCAACCCTCCACAAGATCTAGTTCTTAGTAGCCTTGTGGAATCCTAGCAATCTGATATCTGGGAATGCCCAATCAAAGGAGGGGGACTGCAATACACAAGGCCAATCCTTGTAGGTTTTGATGACAACGCTCCCTTAAGTAGGATCTGGAGGTGGCTTTCTCTTCTAGATCTTAACAGGCTGGAGTTTGAATGGGCTAGCCATTGGATGCTGCCAAGGTGTTTGCCCGGTGCCTGGAGGCTGTAGGGGACGGGGAAGAACTGGCTTCAGCTCAACCCTGACAAGATGGGATGGCTGTGAGTTTTAGGGCCCCCGGGTCCAGTGACTTTCCATTGTTAACCCTGAATGGGGTTACACTCCCCCAGAGTCGGTGTGCAATCTGGGGCTCTCATGGACTCATGGTCCCTTGCTTGTGGCCAGGAGAGTTTTTGTACAGATAATTCTTGTGTGCCAATTGCACACATTCCTGGGTTGGGAGGCACTGGTCATAGTGTTTCACACCTTAGTACCTTCCAGTCAGATTACTGCAACATGTTCTATATGGAGATATCGCTGAAGAACATCTAGAAGCTTCAGCTGGTCCAGAATGCAGAGGCACATGCAGTTTGGGAACACTGTGGTATGCCCATGTGACACTTCTGCTGCATGAGCTGCACTGGCTTCCAAGTGCAATTAAAGATGATGGTTGTCACCTTTAAAGTTCTATATAGCATGGGGCCAGGTTACTTGCAGGACAGTGGTTTCTGCCCACCCTACCAGATCTGGCAGAATGGGCATGCTCTGGGCAATTCGCTAAAACAATGATATCTAGCAGGTCCCTGAAGTGTGCTTCTCTGTTATGGTACCTTCCCTGGGAGCAGCTCCCCACTGAAATATGGACTACCCCAACTATGTTGGCCTTTTGCAAAGCTGTGAAGACCTGGATCTTCCCCCAGGCATTGGGGGTGGGACTTTAACTTGGGAGCTCCAGTATAGGCGCATGTGTCTAACGATTTGTGTTTTTACTAAAACAATGTGGTTTTAGTTGGTTTTTGTTTTTAATGTAATTCTTTGTTTTTGTTTGCCCTTCAAAGTTTCTTGGATAGATGGATGACCACGTAAATTGGATTAGTAAATAAATGAAATCTCAATGTATTGTTGAAGGCTTTCACGGCCGGCATACGATGGCTGGTGTGGGTCTTCCGGGCTGTGTGGCCGTGTTCTGGAAGTTTTGTTTCCTA